ATATAATGTTCATTTATTGTATAGATACATTTTTAAAAATAAAGATTATTTGTTTCAAAAATTAAACTCTGCGTTTACAACGTTGGTGTTTCAGTATAATAATCCTAAAACCTTTCAATACTACATACACGGACACTATTCGGCAGGTAATACCCAAACGAATTTATGTGACTATCCTATATTACAATGCGATATAAAGTAACTTTAAACGTGTCAATATTTTGTTATGAAATCATGTTTAACGATTTAATAGTTAAGACATGCTATCGTCTGTTTTATAGTGAATTGTTTATATTTATTGACATCAGTTTCCTACCCATTAAAAAAATAAAAAAATAAGTAAACGAGTTTTGGGACTTTATTCATTAAAATTGGGAATTTCATGAAACTTAGCTGAATGTTTCTTTTCATTCCCAAACAATCCCAAATAGTTAGTTTAAATAGGCTTTGTTCTTTACTTGTCATTCGTTTGATTAGGGACTTCCGTTTTGAATTTTCCTCGGGGTTCAGTGTTTTTTTGTGATTTTACTTTTTACTCATATATGCGATAAAAAAAACATAGATTAAAAAACACGTTAACTAATTGCACATATCTGTAGCATCTTCTTGCATTGACCTTCGTAAGGAAGGAATTTCAAAGTCGAACATAATAAAGCCGAAACGAATGAAGGGATATTTGACCAAAAAAATCAACCTAAAAAAAAGCCAAATTCATCTAAGTTCAACTTGCCTAAAAGGGTTGAAACTTTCGTTTCTATGTCATTTCAAAATAAAAACAGACTATTTTAGAAAAAAAATGTTATAAATCATGTCAGTACCCAAGTACTGTCTATTGAGCTGATGATACCGGAGACTGATAGTGCACCGGCAGAGGTATAGATCCAGTTTTGTAAAAAATGAAAACAATACGTAAAATCATTTAATGAGTCTTAAATGCATCCACGATTTGTCAAATGTGTTGATCGCTTCATGACATAGTGTGATCAGAAATAATTAGAGGTTTAGTTAATATTTAAGGATGTAGCATTCAACATTGATCCATGTCTCAGCTGCTTACCCTTAAAACCTCAAAAAACGCCGGAAGTGCATATATCAAAATTTACTCATTATTTTAAAGTGAATTGTTTCCCGCATGTTAAAGCTGTTACGAGCTTTGAATATTCCAAACAAAAATAAATCAATTAATAGGGTAAAAAAATTCCACATAGTACAAATTTTATAGTTTTTTTAACCAAGACAGCTCCACGCCTCTGTCTACTAGATCCTCTAAATTCACTTACGAATTTCAGAAAACCGATATATATGTCTTTGGTGGAAAAAATATAGTTAAAATGACATTCTTATTTTATTATCATAATGGAGATCTTAACGATAACCTTATTTCTTTTCGCAGCTAAAATGCCCTTAAAGTCTTTCAAAGTAAAGAGTCGTTTTTTCAACCTTCTTTTAAAACGTATAGACACACTTGTTTAAAACGTTCAACAATTATAATTTAAACGCACTTGCATAATTAAATTACATCATCAAAATCAACAATTTCAACGACTTATGATAGTTTTTCAATGCGCTGTATTGTGTTACTTCACAATATCATATGAATGTTTTTTTATAAATAGGAATATATTAATATATATTTTACCTCAAATCACATATTGTATGTTGTACTTCAATTTTTGATTTGGAAAGGTTGTTCTAGCAATTGATATGATTTTGATGAAAAAGCTGTAGACACCTTGATCGGTAAATATTCTTCAGTTTAAAGAACGTATGACACAAAACAACAAATCGAATTTATTTGGTAATAATTGATGCACAGTTATTAAGCAGAGGCATGATCAAGTGGAAGTCATTTAATTTTTTATCAAGAGATTCTGATATGTCAGGTGTGATCAAGACGACACAAGAACAAAATAAATTTCTGATCACTTTATAAAGGTGTGTGCTTTTTTAGATCAACATATCTGTGTTATTTAAGAATTAAAAAAAATTGGATTGAATGACTTATCTGTGGAGCATTATTCATATGAAAAACTTGATTTGTCAATTGCGACATTATTGCTAGGCTCATCAAGTCTAGAATTTCGTTTTTTATGACTCTTTCTTTAATCTGTTACATGTAGGAAAGAATCACTTTTTCACAAATATAAGTTAAGCGCTATTACGAAACTGACGACTTTCAAGACACTATTTAATTTTCATATTGTTTGTTATAAATAACCCCATTCAAATCAAGGTGTTTCACATCAAATCATCCTTGGTGTTGCTGACATTCAGGACGCAATAAAAATCGAAACATTTTGAATCTATTCAGTTAGTATAAACTCTTATATTTAAGAAGTTTTCATTGAGGCATGTGAATACATGTAGTAGTATTTTTATCGAATATATAACATAATCATGCCATCTGTTAAGTTCATGTTCACCGATTTGAAGCAAATTCTCATATCTGATTTACTAAGATTAAAACGCATATCCAATTTACAAAAAGTATAAAATAAAAAATCAACAATGCATGGACTCTTTATAAGCATTTCGTGTGTATTAAATTCTTGACGCCAAATGATTTACTATCGAGATGTCCACCGAAGTCTAACGACGATCAGATTACTTGATAAAAACATAATTATAAATAAAAGTAGAAATTCAGCACATTCAAATGGTTTCTAGGTGTGTTGAATTTCTTATTTATTTATAGATTAAAATATGTTAATCATCCATTTTACATTTTTTTACTTGTATAAGAATGTTTTCTTGTGGATCGAATCGTTCAACAAATTTTTCACCCTTGTTACGTTTTCAATGTTCATTGTCTTTTTGATAGCTCAACACTCCTTATACATGTGTAACCAATCAAGTTAAGGGATTAAATTGAAGGTCACTTGAAAACGGATTCAGTTAGGTTTAATAATTGACGTGGAAGTAACTAATACAACAGTGTTGTGTCTGGCTTAACGGGATAAACATTAGAATATGGTCCATATTGAATTGTATAAAACGGAATGATATTTTGGAATATCGCTTCTATAAAAAGTCGAAAAAGTTTGAATTTTTGTTTAAATCGTAGCTAATGCCCCTTTAAGTCGAAAACTACTAAAATGCAACGGACACTCAAAGAAAAACCTGCATTATCTTAAATTTCATTTGAAATTAATACCATATATTATGCAATATTAAGATAATACTTCATTTTTTTTTTGCTTCCTTATCCGTAATCGATCAGTCACGATGTTTTCATGTTAACGTCACGAATTAACTTTAAATAGTAATCTTTAAATCGTCAGATTGATTACACCAATAAACCCGTCTTAATGAATTGAAATACGTAACGTCACAATTGATCATTTATATACTGGAAATTCAGAAATTGTTGCGTTCATTCATTATTGCGATTTTGTCATTTTAGACTAAAAACGCGAGTTTTGATTATTGCGATTATAACCCTGTCGCATTTTGCGCTATGATAAAAACATTGCAATAATTTCAAAATTTACAGTATAACGGAATCGTTGCTTCGTTTGATAATTTCAGGATGGCTATAGGAAAAAGTTATTCTGCTGAATATCAAAAATGTGTTCGTGAAATTGGAAATTAATCAATATATTTCACTTCCATTTGTCATAAATATACAATAAACTGGATTGTAAATGGTTAAACAAAAAAAAAAATTGAAAAAATAGAAATACAATCGAAAACGAAAACGATAATCATGATTTTTAATGTCCAATAAAAAGGGCAATATCTTCTCAAAACGTAGCGTAATTGATTGATTATATTATAACAATTTTAAGCTTTATGTTAAACATGTAAAATAGCACGATTTTCCAATTCATGGAGCACTAAGAATAGCAACCTGGTAGAAGTTAACAGTTATACAGTTCTTCCACTATGAATATGACTCTTATATTATTAAACCTAATTTTTCTCTATAACTTTAAATATTTTATTAAAAAAAGAATTAATAAATAAATCAAAACAAGACAAAGGTACACCCAATACTTCTTTCTAATTATAAAGGATTTCCATTAAAAGAAATATTGGCACCTATAATCAACAAAGACAGACACGTAATTTGTTTAAATTCATAGTATTTTTTAAAGTTTTTTACAAAAATCTAATCATGCTACATTATTTCTAATATACATACGATTAACTTTATCCCGACTTCGCTACACGTACGTTATGCATGTTCATATGTTACAAGCGCGTTGGAAAAGGCTGCAAAAACGTTTGAGACACGATTAGGGCACGTTGTGTACTCCGAAAGACCGTTTGACTGTTACTTAGACTTTTACTTGGACGTATGGGTTAACGTACAAAACACACCCGACATTCACCGAAACTTACTCTGACAGTTATATATGCAATTTTTTATGAACAGAAAAGTAGGGGTTGACATAATTTCTAATGGCATGTCATTGATAAAATCTTAGGATTCAGAAGATCTGACATGTGTCAAGCACTAGCTAACATATTTTATTGATAACTATGGATTGATTTATTTTCGCGGGTACCAATTTTTGTGGATGAAGGAAAACTTGCGTGTTCGTGGTCTTTTAATTTCGTGGTTTTGACAAAGTCTTCATACAAGCCTATAGAAAATTTGTCATTCGTTGAATATTTTTTTTGTGGTTCACCTATAGCCACGAAAACCAACGAATAAAACTCAATTCAAAGTAGTAGTTGTTTGTCTTAATTAGCATTCATGCAAAGTAGTATTTGTTTGTCTTAACTAGAATTCATGCAACTGGTATTTGGAACATTTATATTATCACCTCTACAGTGTTAGCAGAAATAAACATCATGTTCTTGGTCTTTAGATCAAGCATATACATAATTTTCACCATACAAATATAAGTTCATCTTGCAATATACGAATTTTTCGTAATTTACATTGTGTTTATGTTCTGCTTCGCTTATTATCTTGAGACCATTTAATCCATTACGATATATTTTTCTACCATACCTTAATAATTTCAAATCACGTGACTCTCTGTCGTCGATTGACACGTATATCAAGGTTACTTTTATATCTGTTGTAACCAAGGAAATATGCTATCGACGTAGATTTGTATGTATATTTAATTGAGTATTTTAATTACCTGTGTTTGTAAAATGTCCACTTAATTTCGTAATGACTAAGACCGTGTTCATATTTACCTAAACTCGGTGTTGTGTTAGTGTAACTCACACATAAACTAAACAAAATTACGTTCCCATTGATATAACTCAATGTTTACATGTAGTTTAAATCATGTTTTGTCTACATGCAGTCGATAGTCAATGTAGGCCTTGTGTAAGTTAAGTGTACACAAAACTAGGCATGTAGAACATTTTTTTACCATGTATATTTAAAGAAGAAACGATTTTTGAATAAAGTCGATATTTATAACAATTATTAATAAAGTTTTTGCAGAAATATTTGTATAAACGTGATATATCTATTTGTTATAAAACACTTAACGTAGCTTTATTAACCCCTTATCAAGACACAAAGCATCATATAATGTATATTATCACATATTTTGTACTGCTATGTACGTTTTTGCATGGCCAATAATAGCCGGAAGTCAAGGTTGGTTATCAGCCCTCAAAAACCCATATCGTGCCCCCGAGTTTGATTTCCGGTAACCTGTCAATCAAATACTATTTGTTAACAAAATGGCAGCTGAAGCAGACGATGAGAGGTTTCTCACAGTATCGAATGATGATACCAGTAATTTCATTGAAGAAATGAAAAATGTTAACACAAAGAGAAAAACTAAAAGTGACGTAAAATTATTAACTGAATGGTTAAAGGAGAACAACGAATTACGAGCAGTAGAGGATATATCTGTACCTGAACTCAATCAGTACTTAGCCAGATTTTACTTGTCTGTACGGTCTCGGAAAAATGAGGAGTATGAGCCGGACTGCCTGAAATCAATTCAGTCATCGATTAAGAGGCACTTGATGGAAAAGACGGGAATAAACAACAATTAAAACTCAACACTAGTAGTAAACCAGAATAAATAAGATTAGGGTGCCTGCTACATGTGCTATTGATACACACTTTGAATGTTGGATATGTACTGATTGTTAATTTAGTCAGCATGATTTTTTGATTAGCTGTTAGTGGCTTTCAACTAGCTGTCATCAACCGCGAGTACTCACAAATCTGTACTTAGGGTCCGTTTGTTGTTGGGATGTACAAGTATCCGTCCACGTTCACTCTGTGTTTTATTGGCTGTATTTCTATTTGTATCCATCTAATGAGTTAAGCCTTTTTCAACTGATTTTTATAGTTCGTTCTTATGTTGTACTGTTACACCATTGTTTCAGATTTGGAGAGGGTTGAGATCCCGCTTATATAATAAAAAAAATAGACCGTCGTTGCCATTCAATATAAACTTTTTTTTTAATTTTACATGCTTGTATACAATATTACAATATAAGATCAATAGCGAAATAGTTATTGATCATTTAGTAAACATTCAAATGGTAAACGGACACGCATTCATCGCAGGACCGCAGATTTTAACATTAAAGGTTAAATGTCTGATATCTTATTTGTTTTATATTCGAGATCTACTGCTCTCATAAAATATACACTCTTAATAAATGTTTCATAACTTTGAAATCATGAATTTTATAAGTAAACACATCTTTTCATTTTCATGTTCATATTTTGCTTTTCAACTTTGATGGTTTATCTTTTTTTATTACTCATCTGTGATAGAATGTATCCTCTAATAGCCAGATGAGTACATGGGAATTTTTATATAACCGTAAAACATCGTTGAAATTGGATATGATATTCAAATTTAGTTATTTCAAAGTAAGGTATTTTTTCGGATAATTATATAAAAGAAGAAGATCATTTGATTTTCAGGCATGCTTATGACATATGCCTTTTATTGAGAAACGACAACTTTAAAATTGTTGAAGTTGATGTACTAAAAAAACGTCATCTGTCGATAATTGTCCCGCACATTCTGGGGCTACTCCTTTCCAGGATAGTATACAATGGTATCATTCAAACAAATATTGTTTCAGAATTTCTATATACCTGATGTACATTCATTTGTGAATGCATGTAGGTATTGTACTCGAGTAAAACAAATGGTTAAAAGATAAAAGTTGACATGTCTTGGCAAACCTGTGGGTTGTTAATGATATGATTGTTCTCGTACAATTGAATGTATTAACTTTCATCTTTTAAATGTGGTATTCACAAAATTTAAGGTCGAAAGATGGATTTTTTTTTCTACAAAAATTATGATGAAATTAATACGAACGTGTAATGTAGTTGACTGATCGTAGATCCGAATAAATGAATTTCCTCACTTTCCCTGACTTAAGTGTTTTTCTTTTCCGATATTATCATAACTATATTATGTTAGTATATGAATATAAAACATAATCATTTATCACTTCCCTAGGCTGACATGTCGGATTTCAAATGTTTGGCTTTGAGCGTTCCTGATGAAGGTTAATCCAGAAAAGCGCTCCGGACGCAATAAATTATTAAACGTGTTGTTTTCATTTTTTTTCTGACATATTGTATTTCACTCTTCGCATTTTAATAAAAGAGATACAGGTTATTTATGCAATCTATATACCTTCATTTAAATATTTGTAGACTCCTTTATCATCTGTTTGTGTTGAACGTTGATAATTCGTATTGTACGATCTGATTCAAAATCCCTATACACAAAGGTATGGTCCATTGGTAGTTACATAAACGTATAACATTCACAACACAGTATAGTCTTTATCAGATACCCTCACATTGAATAATTTATTAAAAGATATTTCCACCTTTTTCTAGAAAAACCTTTTGATTTTGTTCTTATTATTTCATTGCGTTGTATTGTTGTTTTAAATATTTTCGCTTAACTTTTTGGTATATGATATCGAACAATTTATACGCTTTTAAAACTGCCCCTGTTGAACAAGACACTTTACTTTGTAATAGTTGTCTCCCCAAACACTGTTTTTCTTGTGAGGACTACGTCTTTGCAACCGTGAAAGATTACGAAAAAGTTGTTTTATCACATTACTCGTTTTATACTCCGGTTGTCAAGAATAATGTTGATAAGAGGGATATATAGATTCCATATGACAGTTGTTTCCCTTTATTCCTCAACTGGTAGATTTATTCGCACTGATCCCAAAAATATATAATTTGTATATACTTATGTTTTATCACTTAATTTTGCTCTTCTAGTATTTTATCATTATCTATACAAATTTTGATTGGTTATTTAGAAATTATAAATTAGTAAATTTAGAGGATAAATTTAAAATGAAACTTGACCTTTCATTATTAAGTGATGGACATTGAGCAAGAACATGAATTTCATCTTCAACATTGTTCAACCATGTCATTATTACATAATTGACCACATCTTTTGTCTGGGGGTATTCCTTTATGTATTTCATTTTCTATTTCAAGTTCATTGGCACTGATTCTAAATTTGGTTAACTCATTTATTGTTTTATAATTACTTAATAGTATATATTTTCCTATGCCAATATTATTTATTAATAGTCTAAAGGTTTTTAATTTATTTCCTTGCGCCATGCTAGGTTTGTCATTATTTAATTGGTTACGCCAAATTTCATCATATTTAATTCGGAGATTTGTTTTAATGATAATTGATTCATATTAGATTTTGTGATTTAATAAATATTCTGGGGTTAAACTAAGATATTTAGATAATGAATAAATGCTTCCCAACCAATTGTCGTTACATTTTTTAGATAAAATGTTGGACTCTTCAAATGCCTCTTTAATTAGGGAGTTATTTTGTTCTAAAAGTCCGACCCAAAATTTAGTCATATTAAAAATAACCTCAAAAGATAGGTGGTTGCGCCCCAATTCTCCCATCACTGCAAGGTTAGTTGATCTTCAAGGTACCCGTAGAGAATATTTACAAAATTCAACATGTAATTTTCCAATAACTAGACCTGTGTACATCTGGAAAAAATAGTTATCTCCTTTTGATTGTAACTTATTTGGAAGAGAATTTGCCTCAAATGTCTGAGCCATATGATAAAATTGGCCTCAATGTGTGGTCAAAAAGATGTAAAAGTGTTTTAATTTTAGGTTTAAAATGAGTAAAATAACTTTTTAATTTGAAAAAGGCTTTTAATGCTTTATTATATAGATTGAACTTAGCATCTGTAAATATGTCAGAGACGGTAAATACAATGTCAAGATAATTAAATTGTTTCTCATTATGATTAAGCTTACCATTAAATGTTAAGTTTTCCTTTGATATCCTTCCTGTGTTATTAGAAATTAACACTTTGGTTATTTCATGTTAATTTCTAGTCCCCATTTAATACAACAATCCATTAAATTGTCCACAATTTTGTAATCCAGATGAAGTTTCAGAAATCATAATGAGGGCATCTGCATAAATCAAACAGTTAAGGATACTGTTGTTTAACAAAACAGTTAGAATATAAAAAATTCTAGTAAATCATTTATAAAGAGTTTAAACAATGTAGGGCTCAAATTGTCCCCTTGACAGACACCAATATCTGATGGGAAGTTTTCAGTTAGCGTATTACAATTAGTTTTTACAAACAAATACTAGTATGTGTTTTATACATATCTTTAAGTACATATAAAACAAATCGCTCAATCCGAGCTTCCTCAATTTAAAAAATAAGCCTAAATCCCAAACCTTGTCGAAAGCCTTTTCAAAATCAACAAAACAGGTATGGGGGCGTTTATGTCTAGGCTAAGTGTATTTATCAATCAACGTTTTAAGTACAAACACGTGGTCACTAGTTCTTTTTCCTTTCCAAAATCCTATTTGCTCTGGACTAACTATATTTCTTTTAGCTATAAACTTTTCTAATCTATTATTAAGTATTTTTAAAAAGAGTGTTCCTACACAACTACCTATCGAGATGCCTGTAAAATTTGAGGGGTCATCTTTAGATCCACTTTTATGTATTGGGACAATAAATCCTTTAGCCTATCTTTCAGGAAATTTCCCCTATTTAGGAGGGGTTATATGAGAGTGTTTAGTACAGGAACTTTCATATCAATTTTTAACAAAACAGAGACCTGACTGTGATAAAAAAGATCGGCTAAAAAGTCATGAACTTTAAAAATGCAACTTTATCTAATAGTTCCTCTGGTACTATAAGTAGTCAACTACACTGCGCACACGAGGATTTTCAATTGTCTAAAGTAATCCCCTCTGGTTCTGTCATAAAGAATATTTTATTAGTTGATCATTTGATAGAGTAAAAGGTATACATAAATGTAAACAAAGTTAAGAACTGACACGAAGGGAGCATGTACACGTAACACGAAAACGAATATCAATATATGTAGGTCACAGTATGATTTCCTTTTCAGTGTGAATCACACACGAGTAAGATAATTCTTGCGTTTATTTAAAGAGTGTTATCAAAGTTTTACATTAAAATTCATCTCACATAAATGATAATGTATCTGTATTGAAGCGATAAATTAACAAAACTTCACATTTTTACAAACAATTATCAGACGAATATAATTTTGAAGTAAATTATAGTTTGCATTTTTATGAAGGAAAATATTGACCTCATACAGGTCATTATTTTATGCCTTGGAGCATATTTCATTGACACATGGTATCGTCCGGGTTGATTCTTCGAAAGAATAACCTATTGTTCTGAAAGAAAATAACTCCATATAGGTATACAAAAGTCAGATAATGCATATTTTAAGGTTTTTCTAGTCGTAGAACACATCTCGGGTTGTCAGAATTACCCAAAGAAAGACTGCCATACGGTCGGTCATTCATTTGATCAATCCTGACACCCTCGGTGTTTTAAAAGATCAATAGTATATTTCCGCATGTATTGAATAACATATCATCTACCAGAAACAGATTTAGGAAATAATTTTGATGTGGTGAAAGAACAGAAAATACTCAAAACAATAGTTACCCATTGTTTTGCTTCATTTGCTTTAGAACTTGCATTCTTCCACAAACGATCTATTTCCCTTTTAATGTTATTAAAATTGAAGTAACATTTCTAGTGTTGTCAGTTTTTTTAAGATCATATGAATGTCCTTCATGAGCAACATCGAAAACCAAACGTCATATTTCGATGGGTTATTGTTTGCATCTGTTACAAATTGAATTTCTTTCGAGTATATTACATTAAAAGGCAAATCCAGAGAGAACAGTAAATATTCGAAAACTTTATTTTAGATGTGAGCGTATTAGTACCTTCTTGTACAGAAAACAATATTAAAGACTGATATTGATCTCAGTTTATATATGCAGGATCTGGAACAGTGTTCATCAGGAGAGTCTCTAAAGTAAGAATATGTTTGTAAGACTTGACACAATTTTTCACGTTGTCATTGTTCTGGTCTTTCTTTCTTCTTACTTTCGTCAGGTGGTCAAACATGACTCATGTACAAACAACACAGATACACGTCAACGTTATGATTGATTAACATTACAAATAAAATCAGGAAATTTGCCTATTACATTCATCTAGAATCCCCTCAAAAGGAAGGTGTTTTCAGATAATTAGGACGTAATAGTTGGATAAAAAAAAAAACGCTTTTGTTCAGAACTTTCTATTAATTTTTGGTTATATTGTTTGCAGATGAGATATACAACACACATATTTAAAAGATGATGATGGTGATGCATATGTTTGCCCTTCTTTCTTTGGTTAAGGTATGTATACTCCATTCTCTAATGTAATTTACAATGAACGTACGAGTGGTCGTAGACTAGTGAACATTCCTGACGAGAAATTATCTAGAATATCGTTTGGAGACACAATATATTCCCATTCTCTGAAACGTTTTCTCGTATACACTTGTATTGGATCTGTCATTATTTATATTTCTTGAAAGAAATTTATCTTCCTAAGTCATTAGAAGTCCTGCTTGAGCAATGTGCATACTAATACAGTTGCATTACTATTCCTATGGTAAGAATAAAACAGAATATTTAATATCTTATGTTTAGTCTGTGTTTATATCCGTGTCGCAAAGTCAACTAAGGTACAACCTAAGGTCTAAATTGCACAACTTTTTTATATTTTGTTTTACTTGAAAAGTTCTCTAACTTTGTTTTTAATTTGATTTCAATTTTGTATGATTCAAGTGCCACTGCTTAGCGTAATGTAGTCGGAACACACGTCTGGCGAAATAAATTGTAAGCCTGGTATACACAAATTAAGACCTTTCCACTCGAAAGGATATCTTTTGATCCGATCATATTGAAATCCAGTTTAAAATGTCATTTTCAATGTCAAATGATAGCCTATATTATGCTGATTTAAAAAAAAATATATACGGTTCCTCTACACTTTTGTTTCAAAAAAGAAATATATTTTGTTACTTCCGGTCTGAAAAATGTCACTTCCGGTATTATTTAAATTTTACTTCACACTGATTCAAAAAATGTATAGTTATGTGTACTTTTATACAAAATTTAGCTACTTCCGGTTAACACAAGGTCATTTTCGGTTGGAATTTTTTTAATGTACATTGTAATATGGCTTGCAACCATATATACACAAGGTCACTTCTGGTTTGCTTTTAAAGTCATATGGTTTGAAATCTTGTATATGGAGTATAATTGTTTAGGCAGTCCACGGTGGGTAAGGTTGTCCTGCGAGAGAACGTTCTGTGCTGGTGATTCGGTCCTGACGGGTGCTGGTGGGTCCTGATTCAGTGTTGGTGGGTTTGTTTACATTGTATCAGAACGGCAATAAAACAACTGTGTTGTTGCTTAATTTTTCTCTGATACGTCATAAGTACCATGCAAAGAATACTACAACAATTTTTTATTGCAAAAGTCGTGCAAGTTCGCAAAATGAAATTGTCCTGACGATGTGCTGGTGATTAGAAAATGGTCCTGAAACTGTGCTGGTGGGTCCTGGTTCTGTGCCTTTATATTTTAGTAAAAAGTGGCAAATATTCAAGATCATTGAGGCTTAACTGTGATTGACTAATTAGCTGTTATCTGTTTTCTTAGAATTGACATTGTTGTGAATCTGTTTACTGTTATTATGAAAAAAAATACCCCTAATTTTTTATTTTACTGTTTTCTGTTTTCTCATTTAAGATTATTTAAAATGCTGTTATCGGTTATCCATATTTTAAATTAACTGTAATCTTTTTTATTGACCTGTTAATGGAACCCCTCCTGTCTCCTTTTAAGATAAGAAAATATGTTTGCCATTTTCGGGATTACGATCCTTTTGCATGATCACCAAAATACGGGTGTAAAATATACAATACCTATATAAAAAAGATGATGTGGAATGTTTGTCAATGGACATTTCAATAAGAAACCAAAGGAAGGATGTGTTAACAACCATACGTCATCGTACGACCTTCAACAATAACCCAAAAAATCAAAATGTAAAAGGTTTTGCATAAAAATGGAAAGCATAAATATAGAACAAAGGACCTTTTCTAATAAAATTGATAATGGAAACGGGGAATGTGTCAGGGACAACAACTTGACCAAAGAGCAGATAACAGCTGACGGCCACCAATGGGCGGGATACAGCCGGCCCTAAAATAAAATGTAATCAAGTTCAATGGAAATGGATGTCACACTCAACTTCATAACATATAAATGAACTAAAATAAAAGAAAAAACTTACAAGACTAACAAAGGCAAGTGGCTCCTGACTTGGGCCAGGCGCTACAATGCGTAGGGATTAAACATGTTTTGTAAGAATCAGGCACAAACAATCAAGTGAGTCTGAAAACTTCTTAGATGAGTTTAAATAATACATTCAGTGTCCTCAGCATCCTGAATATTGTTTCTCTGACAAATTTGTGCAATTTGGTGCTTACTAAGAGGATGCCAATAGAATTGCTTTTTCTTAGGAGAGGGGGGAGGGGGGGTGGGTGGGGGGGGGGGGGGGGGGTGTAAAGAAGAGGTCACAGTGAAAGTTTCTAAGCTTGGAATTGGAATAGTTTTGAAATTCTAAAATTGTTAATAAAAAATGATATGATGCAGATGTTCAAGAACGATTTTCTTGCTGCAGATGATAATTTTACCATAAAAACATTTTCCAAGAGTGGAAGGGAGTGTCCCGTAAAATTTAAAAGTTTTACTTTAAAAAAAAATGTATCTTTTAGCTTTTAAACATCACTTGCTGTATCTTAAAAATTTATTCAACATAATAAAATTTTTGTCTCAACGGTTGTCTGTATTTTTTACCCCAAAGTTCGATAGAACACTTAAATTTTTTTTCACCATTTTATAGATGGGCAGACTAGAATATTTCAGAGTATGAAAACGAAATAACACAGATTAACAGAAGTAAGATTTTTAAGTCTTGCAATTTATAATTCCAAAATAAAGTCTGTCGTCGACGATATTTGATAAAGAATTAAGGGATAGGGAGTGAACGATGTCTCTTTCTTTTCTAAATATAAATATATTTAATGAATACAAATAAAATATTAATCTTAATTGGAAATGAGTGAAAAATGAGTGAACGGAAAAAAATACAAGACGGTGACAAATAAGGTAAATTTGAAAATTTAATTGACCGAAATAGCTCACGGCTAATTTTGGTCTTATTTTGTAGATATATATAATATCCTTTGATTAATGCATGTCGTAGAGTGTCAAAGTGGTGCAGATTTTTGAAAACTGCGGTCAAAGTTCAAAAGGGGGGATTTGAAAAAATCGAAAGTTTTAGACATTTTGGACATTTCTCGGTAGTCTCTCATGTTAAATTAGAATTTTTTTCGATGGAAGCATGTGCTAGGAATGCTCCACAAATACAGCTAGTCATATTTATGTCTGATTACCATATATACATACCCTCGCTTGCAACATATAAGAAAATATCTACGAAAATTATCGACAAAAAATATTCATAATTAAGATTTAGCTATGCAATAATACATGTCCACCTATAAAGATGTTTTTTGGGAAAGTTTTATTAAAGTGCCATAAAGAACAGAGGAGAAATAAGAACTGCAAAGTTAACACCCGGTCCATGATGTTGTAAAAAAAATGATGAAAACTCTTGGCTGATTTTTTAAACTTAAAATGATGTTAGAACTATAAAAATTAGTCTTCGTGTTCATGACACTATAGTATATGAAGTTTGTTTTTATATCAATAAATATATCAGTTCTAGACCAATATCACATTGAGAAGATGTGTCCCCTTCTTTATTACAACGACAGACATGGTTGTCGTTTGTTGATGTTGTTCATAAATGTTTCTCGTTTCTCGTTTTTATATTGATTAGACCGTTGCAATGGTTTTACACTAATAATTTTTTGGAGCCCTTACTGTTCGGTGTGAGCTAAGGCTTCGTTTAAAAAACCGTACTTTGACCTATAATGGTTAACTTTTACAAATTATGACTTGGATGGAGAGTTGTCTCATTGGAACTCATACCACATCTTCTAATATCTATAAACAATGGAATACATAATAGTAGCAGACTTGAAAGCCCGATATATATGTTAACTACAAAACAAAGATTCACAGGGATATTACACTTCAAAGGTTGCTGTCTATGTATAATCATAAAACACTAACACTAGACATCAATATGCCCATTAATTTGAAAAGGTAACGGAATACTAGAAACAAAAAGATGGATGTCATTGTATGACGCCGACAATAATCATGGATTTATTCAGACCACCATGTACTGATTGACCATTGTTTCTTGGGTCATTTTGATCCGCGGTGAATTGATTTTCACTGCATCATATGTGTGAATATAAGAACCAGCTAGAATGACAAATTTTGATACATGCATGTTTTTTCCGACCCCTTGTAATTGTTGTCCTTTGCTAATTTCGATTAGAGAAGACGTGTCGCATCCTGTAAGAGCACGAACTGCTGTTGGTGTGCCAGACATCAGAGGTCCATTAACTAAACAGTTGCATATGTCGTGAATAGGTAAAAACTGTCTTGTGGCTTTGGTTGAAGAAACGCCTCCAGTCTAAAATCACAATTCATCATGTTTGACAGCTGAAGAAAAGCCCTTATTAGAAATAAAACATAACTGTCATGACTTTAATATGATGCAACCCCTGGAATAACTTTTCAATATATGTTCATTGGAAAAAAGAGACGGCAGAATAATTCTTTTATCTGTCTTTTAAGTCACTTACAGACCCTACACAAAATTACTTCACAGTCTATAGGTTTTGAAAAGATCCCGCTAGAAACATTTCGTCATGTTCTTGCAAATCAAAATCATTGTAGTGCGATAGTGCATAGTTACAATGTACCTACAAATCTTATCAACCCATGTTTATTTTACGGTGCACAAATACACTTCTTCTAATCTCTAAGTGATCTGCATTCAATGACTTGAAGAACAATTTCGATCTACCACCATTTGAAATAAACCTTATTGTCCCTTTGACGCCTTTAATAGCTGACTATGTGGTATGGAATTTGATCATTGTTGAAGGTCGTGCGGTAACCTATAGTTGTAAATATCTTTGTCATTTTGTCTCTTGTGAAGAGTTGTTCCATTGGCAAGCATACCACATCTTCATTTTATATACACCAATGTCCGATGTAAGGGGAGGGTTGGGCGCCCGCTGACATCTTAAACCTCTCCACATTCTGTATGTGACTGTCCTAAGTCAGGAGCCTGTTATTCAGTTGTTGTCATTTGTTGCTGTTACATTTTTGTTGTTCGTATATTATTTTGTACATTA